ACGGACATGCTCCTTCCCGCTGTGCGCGCCCCCGCTCCCGCCGCGGCTCGCTCCCGCTTTCTTAGCTACAAGCTCATACCGTCAGCAGAAGACAGCCTCAGGAGCGCGCAGGCGCTCGCGTCTCCCAGCCGCCCACCCTCGAGGAGGGCACGCCCACCGTTGACTGCTTTGCGCGCAGGCATTGGTTGAACCGGGAGTTTGGGCGTGGCTTTTGTACTGTCAATCCCCTGATTGGTGGGCAGGGGGTGGGGGTTCGGTGCATTCGGGTCAAGTTCTTGGAAGGCAGATATCAGAGCCTTGCACTGGAAGTGTACCGAGGCTCACAATGCGGCTTTTGTAACCGCTCGTCTTCCGGGGCCGCGCTGCCAGAGACAGATGTTAACATCAGCATTTCCCCCCCAAACATCTGACAGCGGAGACCCCGGAGAATACAATGGCAGTTGGCGCGCAATGTGCGCAGTTATTTATCAAACACAAGTTTTTAGGGGGAAAAAAGTAATATTAATGCAAAGAAACCACAATATAGTGATAGATGGGGATGTGGGTGAGGAGGGAGCTCCAGGTGATGGAAGATGATAGATGTGGGTGAGGAGGGAGCTCCAGGTGATGGAAGATGATAGATGTGGGTGAGGAGGGAGCTCCAGGTCAGGGGTGATGAAGGATGATAGATGGGGATGTGGGTGAGGAGGGAGCTCCAGGTCAGGGGTGATGAAGGATGATAGATGGGGATGTGGGTGAGGAAGGATGATAGATGGAGATGTGGGTGAGGAGGGAGCTCCAGGTGAGGGGTGATGAAGGATGATAGATGGAGATGTGGGTGAGGAAGGAGCTCCAGGTGAGGGGTGATGAAGGATGATAGATGGAGATGTGGGTGAGGAAGGAGCTCCAGGTGAGGGGTGATGAAGGATGATAGATGGAGATGTGGGTGAGGGAAGGAGCTCCAGGTGAGGGGTGATGAAGGATGATAGATGGAGATGTGGGTGAGAAAGGAGCTCCAGGTGAGGGGTGATGAAGGATGATAGGTGGGTGAGAAAGGAGCTCCAGGTGAGGGGTGATGAAGGATGATAGGTGGGGATGTGGGTGAGGAAGGAGCTCCAGGTGAAGGGCCATTAGGACAATGTATTACAGATGATTGGACGGGGATGGTAGGGGTTGGTTGGCAGCCATGTCCCAATGTTGGGTGTACTCTGTGTACTGGACATATACAACGGGGGTGTGGTTAGCAGTGCAGGGCAACCAATCAGCTTTATTATTTCATTTTCAAAGCTTAACTGAACAAGCTGCAGGTAGAATCCGATTGGTTGCCATGCACAGTTGCTCCGGTTTTTATGAACTTCCCCCAATGTATTTCTGGTTCACCTTCCCTTTATATGGGTGACTACAGCAGGCTTGACAGGAATCCAAAAGTTACTGTAGTCACCTAAGCAGGAATAGGGGTAAACTCCTTCCACAGGGACACCCATCTATGGGCCGCTCACCCCACATGGAGACACCCGTCTACGGGCCGCTCACTCCACACGGGGACACCCATCTATGGGCCGCTCACCCCCACATGGGGAGATGTATTAGGCAGAATATTGAAACTAAAGTCCCCATCACAGGCAGATCTGCTCCTGTATTCCTGGGATTCTGGGTGTGGCAGACTCTGATATAACCATTTTTTAGTTCCCTGCTACTGATTATCAGCCGTCCTGTACGCCTGAGCTCTCCTCACACAACGCCGCCAATACTATCACACCACTGAGCCCTTCCCGCCAATTCCTGTCAGGCGCGCACTGCATGCTGGGGGTTCTCCGCGCTCTAGTACTGTGTAGCCGGCCACGATCCCTGCGCGCTCCTTCCTCCTGACTCCGCCCACTATAGGTCGGCGTCATGCCCCTCCGGCTAACCTCGCCCACAAACAAAGCCGTGCCCTGCCCCCTTTCTAACCCCGCCTACAAACAGAGCTGGGCCCTGCCCTACTCCCTCACACAAAACAATGCGTCCACCTGCTTTGAATCTGACCCGCTCACCACAGAGTGGCGCCCTCCCTTATTCCTGACCCCGCCCACGATAAAGCGACACCCTTCCGCTTCTCCTGACTCCAACTACCATAGAGCGACACCTTTACCTTTCTCCTGACCCCGCCCATCATAGAGCGAGCGCCTTGCCCCTTCTCATGACTGCGCCCACCATAAAGAGGACGCCCTGCCCTTTCTCCTGACTCCGCCCACCATATAGCCGGTGCCCTGCCCCTCTGACCCCGCCTACGATAGAGAGGCGGTCTCCCGGTGACATGAGGGGTGTCGTGAGGTCGGTGCTGTTCGGCGGGTTGAGGAGGGCAGGGGGATCCGGCGCCCCCCGGAGGGCCGGCAGTAGTAGTGTGGTCGCGGAGGCCCCCGCGGTGCGGAATCGGATCCTCACTCTGCAGTCTATGAACCCCCAGGTGCGGGCGGTGGAGTACGCTGTGCGGGGGCCAATCGTCATCAAGGCCGGGGAGATCGAGAGGGAGCTGCAGAGGGTGAGTGAGGGCGGACTACAACCCCCAGCATGGCCTGAGTGACAGGAGGACTACAACTCCCAGCCTGACCCGACGGGAGGACTATAACCCCCAGCATGGCCTGAGTGTCAGGAGGACTACAACTCCCAGCCTCACCCAACGGGAGGGCTACAACTCCTAATATGGCCCGACGGGAGGACTTCAACTCCCAGCCTGACCCGACGGGAGGACTACAATTCCCAGCCTGACCCGACGGGAGGACTACAACCCCCAGTGCGGCTGAACAGGGGGACGACAACTCCCAGCCTGACCCGATGGGGGGACTACAACTCCCAGCATGGCCTGACCTGACGAGGAGGACTACAACTCCCAGGACCTGACGGAGGGCTACAACTCCCAGCCTGACCCGCGGGAGGACTACAACTGAGTGACAGGAGGACTACAACTCCCAGCCTGACCTGACGGGAGGGCTACAACTCCCAGCCTGACCTGACGGGAGGGCTACAACTCCCAGCCTGGCCCGCCGGGAGGGGGCTACAACTCCCAGCCTGGCCCGCCGGGAGGGGGCTACAACTCCCAGCCTGGCCCGCCGGGAGGGGGGGGCTACAACTCCCAGCCTGGCCCGCCGGGAGGGCGACAAATTCCAATATGACCTGATGGGGGGGCTACAACCCCCAGCATGGCCCTACGGGGGGACTACAACCCCTAGCATGGCCTGGCTGACTGAGAGATTAGACATTCCCTCCCGTCTGGGGTAGCAGAGGACTGTATGATGGAGGAATTAAAAATCGGTGTGGAACTGTAAGTCCCAGCATGATGGGGGCTACAGATCTGGGGAGCTCCATGTCTGTCATTGGGGATGTCCATGGTGTGCGGAGTCACCACCATCCCTTCCATGCTGCGGACAGACCTTATGTAGTCAGGACTTCTATGACTGCTGTGGATCCCCGGGATTCTATATGTCCTATATAGAACAAAGTTCTTGGGGCACTACAGATCCCAGCATACTCTGACCCCCTATCCCGGGTCCCAGTGCAGATGCTGTTCCTGCACACCCCATCTTCCATCTCACATGGCCTCCTATGGCACGCCTTCACCTCCATGCGTTTTCAGCTGCTGCGTTTTTGAATAGGGACTTTTTTTCCTGCAGCAGATTGCGTTTTTGGCGCAATAGACTTCACTGGAACCACACAAGTGTTGGGTTTAATGACGTGTTTTCTTTTTGGCCAATAGGAAAGCATTAAGTGCGTCTATTGATGCGACTTTACACATTCTAACACTTAAGTCGCGCCAAAGTAGTGTGGGAACCTTTTCAAAGTCGCAGCGACTTTGTAAAGGTTCCTGCACTACTTTAACCGCCTCCCACCTGCCATATAAGGAAATGACGGACGGGTGGGTGGCGGTTCTCTCGTTCTGGGAAGACGTCATATGACGTCCTCCAACTCTAACCATGCCTGCTCGCGGCGATCGGTGGTGCGCTGTGTCCCTGGGACGCAGCGGATCACTGATCGACGGAAAGAGCTGATGACGTCGGCTCTGTCATGTGATCAGCTGTGTCCAACCATAGCTGATAGCATGTAAATAAGGAAATGCTGGTTATCGGCATTCCTCTGCTCACGAGATGTCACGCTGACAGGAGAGGAGAGCCGGTAATTGGCATTCCTCAGAGGGGACATGTACACTGATCATCAGGGCACGGCAGTGTAGCCCCATCAATCCCACATATTAGTGCCTACCAGTGCACATCAACGCCACATATCAGTGCCCATCTGAGCTGCTTGTCAGTGCCCATCAGTGCTTTCTTTCGGTGCCCATCAGTGTGCCTGTCAGTGCTTCCTCATCAGTGCCATATGAGTGCTGCCTGTCAGTACCCATCAGTGCCTCCTCATCAGTGCCATATGAGTGCTGCCTGTCAGTGCCCATCAGTAATGCCTGTCAGTACCCATCAGTGCCACCTACCAGTGTCTCCTCATCAGTGCCACATATGAGTGCTGCCTTTCAGTGCCCATCAGTGATGCCTATCAGTGCCACCTTCCAGTGCAGCCTATCAGTGCCCCTCACTGCAGCCTCATTAGCGCACTTCTGTGAAGGAGAAAAATCACTTATTTACAAAATTTTATAACAAACTAAGAAAAAACTTTTTTTTTGTTCAAAATCAGTGGTTTTTGGTTTGCTTAGCGAAAAATAAAAACCCCAGTGGTAATTAACCTCTTGGCACCGGGCTGAACACAAATGTGTGCCCCCCCCCCCCCCCCCCCCACGCCTGGGCCTAGATGCCGAGCGGGCCGCACATTTGCGGTCTATTAAAAAAAAAAAAAAAAAAGCACATGTGCTGAGAGCGAGCGCCCTGCACGCTCCCAGCACACACGTTTGGTACTCGCAGACAGGTCCCAATCTCTTGATCAGGACCTTTCCCGATCATGTGACAGCGAATCACTGTGGTCACATGACCCTAAAACGCTGCCAACCTCCTGGCTTCTGGAACCCTTAAAGGGCCTGGAGGTTGCCTGTGCCAAGGGGTTAAATACCACCAAAAGAAAGCTCTATCTGTCTCTAAAAAAAGAGAAAAAAATATCAGTGTAGCCTCATCAGCACTGCCTCATCAGTACCCATCAGTGCAGCCTATCAGTGCCCATCAGTGAAGGAGAAAAATTACCTGATTTCAAAATTTGTGGTTTAGAAAAAAATAAAAATCCCAGCGCTGATTAAATACCACCAAAAGAAAGCTCTATCTGTCTCAAAAAAATGATTCAAATTTCATATGGGTACAGTGTTGCATGACTGCGCAATTGTCATTCAAAGTGTAACAGCACTGAAAGCTGAATATTCTCCCCCCCCCCCCCCCCCCCCCTGTTGGTGGTTCTCGCTTCATTTGGAGAGTAAAGTTGCGGTAATTCCAATTTTTTATGGTGCATGACATTAAAGCGAAGGTATATTGAGCGCACATGTTCAGTGCTTCCTCCCTTTGTGAATGTCATTTACCAGGCTGAGCTGTGCTGTAACCAACCCGGAACCTCTGCAGTTTGCTGAGACTTGTAGTTCCACCTATAGAGGAGCTGATCTGCTCTGTACAGTTGTGGTCAGGAATCTGGTGCCCATCACATCCTTGTGCTCTGGCCTTCCACTTGTCAGTGGGGGGGGGGGCGCAGAGGGTGGTGACCCCGACATTCCTCTGCAGGGTTTACTATGAGCACTTTCTGCCCACACTGCAGGATTCTATTTCTTCTGGTTACATTTCATTCTTCTCACAGGACCGCATTTGCTGCATTGCATGCTGTCCTTCCAGGAGGGTGGGAGCTGCTCCAGATCACTTTCTGTGCGGTTATATCGCTTTTCTATGTGTTATGTAAAATGACTTGCATCGAGTGGGCTGGGCACTTTGTGACCTTTATTTTTGCAACAATGAATAAAGTTTTCTGGACAGTAGTTGGGCCCTTTTCTTCGTGCATGGCCAGGAGCCCAGCAATGGCCCCCGCTCATCGTAGGGGGACCCACCACTATAGACAAGATATTGAGATATTCCTTCCTTCTTTTGCCATTTAAGAGAGGTTGTCTCCTTTCCCGTCTCTGTGACCCCATTTGGGAGAGGTTGTCTCCTTTCCCGTCTCTGTGACCCCATTTGGGAGAGGTTGTCTCCTTTCCCGTCTCTGTGACCCCATTTGGGAGAGGTTGTCTCCTTTCCCATCTCTGTGACCCCATTTGGGAGAGGTTGTCTCCTTTCCCGTCTCTGTGACCCCATTTGGGAGAGGTTGTCTCCTTTCCCGTCTCTGTGACCCCATTTGGGAGAGGTTGTCTCCTTTCCCATCTCTGTGACCCCATTTGGGAGAGGTTGTCTCCTTTCCCATCTCTGTGACCCCATTTGGGAGAGGTTGTCTCCTTTCCCGTCTCTCTGTGACCCCACTTGGGAGAGGTTGTCTCCTTTCCCGTCTCTCTGTGACCCCACTTGGGAGAGGTTGTCTCCTTTCCCGTCTCTCTGTGACCCCACTTGGGAGAGGTTGTCTCCTTTCCCGTCTCTCTGTGACCCCACTTGGGAGAGGTTGTCTCCTTTCCCGTCTCTCTGTGACCCCACTTGGGAGAGGTTGTCTCCTTTCCCGTCTCTCTGTGACCCCACTTGGGAGAGGTTGTCTCCTTTCCCGTCTCTCTGTGACCCCACTTGGGAGAGGTTGTCTCCTTTCCCGTCTCTCTGTGACCCCACTTGGGAGAGGTTGTCTCCTTTCCCGTCTCTCTGTGACCCCACTTGGGAGAGGTTGTCTCCTTTCCCGTCTCTGTGACCCCATTTGGGAGAGGTTGTCTCCTTTCCCGTCTCTCTGTGACCCCATTTGGGAGAGGTTGTCTCCTTTCCCGTCTCTCTGTGACCCCACTTGGGAGAGGTTGTCTCCTTTCCTGACCTTTGACCCCATTTTGAAGAGGTCTCATTTTCTGACCTTTGACCACACTTTAGGAAACGTGGTCTCATTTCCCATCTTTGTGACCCCATTTAGGAGAGGTTGTCTCATTTCCTGTCCTTTGACCCTATTTAGGAGAGGCTGTCTCATTTCCTGTCTCTGTGACCCCATTTATTTTTATTCATTGCAGGTTCTGCTGTCAATTTATGCAGTGATAGATATATATATATATATATATTATATTCACATCAGTCATTCACATCAACCCTCAAGGGGTGTACAATCTAAGGTCCCTAACTCGCATTCATACATACACGGCCAATGTAGACAGGAGCCAATTCACCTACCAGCATATTTTTGGAGTGTAAGAGGAAACGAGAGTACCCCGAGGAAACCCATGCAGGCACAGGGAGAACATTCAAACTCCAGGCAGGAGGTGCCGTGGTTGGGATTCGAACCGACAACCCTAGTACAGCCAGGAAGTGCTAACTATTTAGCCACACGCCATTCCATGAGCATACGCAATTTTAAAGCGTGACATGTTGGGTATCTATTTACTCGGTGTAATTATCCTCTTTCATAAATTACAAAAAAATCGGGGTATATATTGTTTGTTTTTTTTTTGTTTTGTTTGTT